GATTTTGACATCATGCATATAACATGTGATCGATAAAACAGTCGTCTTATTCAACCGCAGCTTCTATTTCCGATTTGTGTTAACCAGACATTGAAAAACCGGTCCTAAATAATTAGAGCTTAACTTTTTAAGCCGGTGGCAACCCTCTTTATTATTCTAAGTGTTCAGACTAAGAATTTTTTACCACATAATATTTCATATGCATAACTTTTGCATACTTTAATTACACTCGACTCTTTCAAGCCAAGCTGGTGGCAGCCCTGTCATATTTTAAAACCAAAACCTTGTTAAACCTTTTTCGTAGGACACACATATTGTGATACACATTTAAATTATGTAATTTCCTTAACTTTCTGTAAACTTGTTCCCTTATTATTAATTTTGCTTAGAATAATGCACCCCATTCAACCGCAAAAAAGGCCGGATATAGATTTTTACCAAATGATTTTTCAACCGTTACTCACATATTTACTAATGCTTTGTTTTATAATCAAGAAATGAATTATGCGTTAAAACGATACTTAAGTAGTATACAATAAAAAAAAAAACTTAAAAGCAGCAGCAGAAACTGATTGTAGGAAGATGGCAATCATCGCCTTGCTGAATATACAAATAGTTGTTTACGCTTTATCTTAACGAATTAAATCTTTTATCAGAAAGTGAGAAAATTTTGTACAATTTTTAACAGTTTTTACGCAAAAAGGCACGAGAATTGAAAACAGTACTAAAAAAGGAGTAGTATATTAAAATGATACCCTGTATAAGACTGCAAAAAAGTGAGGTTATGTTGTTGATAACACCTCATTTTATTGCACCATGCCTCCAGTTAGCGTTAACTAGACATGGTGTAAATGGCACTTAGCACAGGGCTGCCATAATCCTGAACCCATCTACCAGGACAGCTATCATCCAAATCAAAAACGAAGATACATCTGAATATGGTGTCAATATATTCCCTATAAGTACAGTGGCTTTGGTTCCAATATTAAAAGCAGGAAAAGAATTTTATGGAAATTTCCTTTTTTCTTTTGAAGAGATAGACTATATTCGATTAAGAACAGTGCCGAATAGTACCGAAAAGAAGGCGAAAGTGCCACAAAATTAAATTTCTTTTAAGGCCTTTTAAGAACAATATATTTTTAGAAGTAATACTTTTAAAATACAGTGAAGTTAAATAATAATTATTAATTAGTTAAATTATTACCGTAAATCACTTTTATGGAGGATTCCTTAGACATACTATATATGTACATAAATTCACAAAATTACACAGTATTCCTATTACGGACGGGAAATGTGTCCACTATGCTATTCTGACATTTTTACACATAGTGTGTGTACCTGTATGCGAAATAATGGCCGTGAGACATTTTGACCAGTTTCGCCTATTCATTGATTAATTTTTAATGATTTTATATAACAGTCTAATTCACAGTTTAATAAACACCATATATGTACACAAATAGGCATTTCAAACTTTGTACAAAAATTATAAAAAATTCAGCAGGTTTTCGCAACAAACTTTAAATTCAGAATTTTTAGGGAGATTCCAAGTTTTCGATTTTATGCAAGTTTTCCCATATAAAAGTGTAAAGTTATACTTTATATACTTGGAGGAGAGTCTGAATTGACCCTCATTAAAAACCCAGAACAAATTTAAGTGTGGACCAGGACACCAGGACAATTTGTCTAAACCAAGACAAATCCTGGAAAACCAGGACGTTTGGCAGCTCTACATTAGCAAGGCATCCATACCGAAGCATAAAACGTATTCTATCTCAAAAAGGTAAAAAATTATTTACCAATTTTTTATTGCAGTCATAATTTGGTTAACATAGAATTTTTCATATGTACGTCTGTATGTTCTTTGTAGGAAATTTTTGTTAAATTTTCATCATTCCTCTTCCTCTCCTCATACATATCTTATTACATTAAACGAGCCATTCTTGAATATATATGTATATATATCCATAGATAATGTTTTGCATTCCGTATAAGGTTGCCACCTGTTCGATATTAGTCACAAATTAATTAAAATAGCATAATATGGGTGCCAAATGGAAGGTATTTTAAAGATCCCTAATTCAAAAATATTTTTAATAGGGTTGCCATCTATTTTGAATCACATATTTATTTCATTTTTTATTAAGAATAGAAGGCAAAATATTACTATTCATGCGTACCTAGAGAAGGTTCTTAGACACTGCTTTCCCTATATATGAAATGTTATCCCTTGGGATAATAGTTTAAGATTGGAACTTATTTTCAATTCTATTCAATTTATCCAAAACATCGCAATATGAATATCATATGAAAGATATTGTTGGGAAATTTGATCTGAAAATATTTTCCATCAGGGTTGCCACGCTTCTATGTAAAAAAAGGATTTTGTTAATTTCAATCCGCATTTTTTATGTATACACAGTACATATACTCTCAAGATATATACAATTCATTCCAGTGTATTTGGAAATAGGGTTGTCGCCTAAATTTTGGAGTAAGAAATTTACTTAATATATATCGAAATCCAATTTTATTTTTTTTTACTTTCCAAAATATCTTTTAAGGCCATCCAAATCTTGAAAACTTTAAAAAGTTTATGCACTCCGGGCAAAGCTCGGTCAACCTGGTACTGTATATTTAATTCTAGAAAAAAGTCATATGCTTAATGCACACCCACAATTAAATACTTATGCATGTATTTACTTGTGTCTGTATATATATGCATGTATATATTTTTTTGTATTTAAATGTGCAGATGTTTAAAAATGCATTAACCGAACAACATTAAATCATTGAGGAATACGTGCACCGCCAATAAACGCATTCGAGTGTGGACAGGAATGAAGGAGAGCTCTTATGGTAAACCTGGGGACTTTTGCTGTAGGTGGCACTCGAGTTGGTTAACAATATTTGTATTTTAATAATTTTAATGCATTTCCTCGTTGCTTGCCGGAATAATTCGAATAATTGAAATTCATTAAAATATTTTCATATACATACATACATATGTAGTTGACTGATAATAGATCAAAACAAATTTTTGTAAAAGCACACATGAAATTAATAGAATCAGCCTTCTGAGAACAGGTTATGCCATGACTTTAACGGTCGCCTGCCCGGCCTCTTCGGTGAATCGGTGGTCTCGAACGTTTCCTGCTACCAAACCGCTAAGCTGGATTCACTGAAGTGGCCTGTTGGCGCCTTGATGTTGCCACACAAACGGGAGGGACCTACAGTTTTACGCCGACTTCGAACAGCGATTGTATTTTTATGAGAAGATATTTTTCATGGCATAAATACACTCGGAGGTTGGCCATTTCTTGCCGAGGGGCGTTCGCTGATAAACTTAACGTCACTAAATGTCTTATTCTGATTACAAATTTTAGAATCTTTGGCTCCAAAACTGACACTGGGTCAGAATGTAGAATCTGCTCGTGTTGAAGCAAACGGGAACAATATTCATTTCTCTCTCAAAAAAGTCGACTGCGTGGTGTAAAATACGTTATGCGGTGAGAGCTTACGAGTCCGCAGTGATAGCCAATGCATTGGCCAGCCTTCTAACTGCTTTCCAGACTAGTTCGTCAACTAGGTTGGGAAAAAAAACAAAATTATTTTACTCTGGTTGCTACTACTCGGTAAAGAGACTTCAGACCATTTGACTAGAGAGAAGCCAACCATGAGCTCTGCAACATCCATCAATTAGCTTCTTAGCTTCGTGTTAATTTCGACAAAAATAAAATAAAACTGTTGAAGAAATATTCTAAAAGCTAACATAGATTTTCATATAATTGGTTGGCCAAAACGTTAAGATAAGTTCAGTTATTTAAATTAAATCTAGAGTAACTGAGCTGTGTAACTAAAATTTTTAATAAAAAACCAAAACTACAGTTTGGCAATTCAAGTAGTTTTTGCTATTGTCAATCGTTTGATATCTTGAAAGTTGCAAAATTTATATTCCTATAAAGTACGAGGGCTATTTGAAAAGTCAGTGACTTTTTTGATAAATTTTATTTTTCTGCTAAAAGGCTTTCTTTCTCAACATAGTCTCCTTATAGCTCCAGCATTTTTCCAATTTTTTGATTCCCTCCAAATAATACGGGTTTCAAGTTGCTCAAAATAAGTGATGACCTCTTCATTCGACCCAAATCTCTTACCGCGCAGCCATTTCTTTGGGTTTCAAAACAGGAAATATTCGCTGGGGGCGAGGTGAATATGGTGGATGGTGTAGGAGTTCGTAGCCCAATTGAATTTTATTTTTTCCCATGCATTGTCTTGCCTGGCACTATTTTCTTGTCCAAATGTGGTCGTTTTTGCTTCATATCAACATCGGATCCATTCAAAAGCTTTGAATAATACTCGTCAGCGAACGTTCTGCCCTTTTCAAAGTAATCGATGTGAATGGCAACGCGTGCATCCCAAAAAAAAAACTCTGGCCATAACGTTATTGGCCGACAAAAACACTTTGGCCTTCTTAGGTGCACTTTTTGATTATTTCTTGGTCTCTGGTGGGTTATGGTCTATCCACGTTTCGTCAACAGAACTCACTTTGTTTCTATTTTCGTTGAAATTTACGAGGTTATCTGCTTTCAATGGCTGGGAAACACAAACTAAGTGGCGCAGCTTGCTAAAAATTTTGAAAGTCGGCAAGTCAAAAAGTCATTGATTTTTCAAACTGCCCTCGTATGTACTGACACGTATGTCTTACAAAAGCAATCTTAATTCTACAGGTATTATTACATATTCATACTCATACCTTTGCGATAACTCATCTCACTACTTGCGAAAACATGTAATTTAGATATGAGCTACTATGTAGGTAGTACCAGTTCACCAAAAAAGTAAACTTTTTGAACCAGATAACATTCGTTCGGTGCAACCTTAATACCGTGCCTATGTATGGAAATTTTAAGCGAATATGCATACATATTTTATTTCTTCTATGCCATTTAAATACGTATTTGTTTTTCGTCATTTTAATGAATTCAAGCACAACAAAATTTCAAATGCTTCGCCACTCCACTAGCTAAGCATCGCCTCCGCAATGGCGCGAGAAAAGCATTTCGCCTGCGAACTATGTACACACGTGCGTCGCTCATAGTGCCACAAATACTGAAATGGACATTGGAAGATCATCAAATAGCCATTGGAGCAGAAATAGTAGTAGCCACAATTGCGTGCATGAGGTATATAATCGTAGACACCGCGATTGCATATCAAACGAACGGGACGATATAGCTGTAAATGAAAAAATTTTAAATGTTTACTTCCTTTACAAATAATCGCACAGATTTATTGACGAAAAAATTTACCGAACAGTAAACGTTTTCCTGACGCTCGCAACGTGACGTCTCCTCATTAAAGTAGGTGCCGCGCGGACATATCATCGGTATGGCAATGCCATTGTAGCAGGTGTAGTACGATGTACAAGACGCGGCATTGGCTAGATAGATAACGTTGTTCAGGCCATAGCGTAGCGGGCATTGTGGCGCCTGATTGGCCGCAATAGCGGCGGTGGCTGCGTTGCCCATATCAATGCCATTTAATGCTAAGCCCGTTACAGGCTCACTGCCAATAACGCCACCGCTTAGCATCGCCGATTGCAATTGTTGCTGTTTTTCCTGCTGCTGCTGCTGCTGCTGCTGCTGCTGACTGCTCCAAAGACCAACAAGCGTATGCCAGTTGTTATTGTTGCTCATTAAATTGTTGGTATTCATAATACTGTTACTATTGACATTGGCGTCGAAAATCGTTGCAACATTCTTGTCATCTACACGCTCACCATCGAGTGCGCCCACGCTGTGTGAACTTCCTAGACTTCCTTGGCTATTCTGGCTGCCTTCAACCGTCAACTGCACCTGCACGCCAACATTGCAGACAACCGCTGAACGCTCATCGCACTTGCCTACATTCACATTGAAATAGTTATCATCAAGACACTCACCTTCGAACGAATTATTGCCATCGCAGTAGATATATTTGGCACAATTGTCCAAACTAGCGACGAACTTCTGACTCTTTTCAGCGCCAATGCATTCCCGGTAGAACTTGCCGTGCACGAAAGCAACACCGCTGATGGCAATGGCAAATAGAATTGCATTCAATTGCCATTTATTGAAAATGGTTTCAAGTTTTGGCATTGTTGTTGTAGTCCTTTGTGGTATGTTTATTAATCAAAGTTGGAAATTTAAATGAGGTCTACTCATAAATGTCGAAGTTTGCTTGCTTACTTAGTGAATGTTGAAAACTTACTAAAATACATTCGAGCAGCAATTTTAGTTTACATAACAATTTCAATGCTTTGCTATCTTCGGAGATTATTAATTTGTTGGCTGCAAATACTTTATCATAAACTAGGTACATATGCTTTCGAAAAATGCTGATGATACCGTTAACGCAGAAACCTGGCGCAAATGTGCCTAGCCTATCAATATAGTTACTCCATAGTAGTGTGTTAATTAATCACACGGAATTTTGGCAATTTTTTTTTTTTAATTTCAAATTTTCTTTTGTCAAGATTTCTTCATTGTATAAGGTTTTTAGGCAGTGCTTTCTTTGCGACATATTTTAAGCTATAGCAGAGATCATTAGAAATATTACACCTTGCCACAAAAACCAAATATGTATGTATGTAATTTCAAAATACACGAAAAAATCAATATTTTCATGAAACTAGGGGCCAAATATAAAAACCTGCGTTTTTAGTTTTCCCCTCTGACATAGGAATTCTTATTAAAAGGGCTTTGAAATTTAAGAGTTATGATTATGAAATTCAAAAAATTATTTTACAAATGCAGTGCAATGTAGAATTACAATATGGATACTAAATGAGAGAAAAAATGCTGTGCATTTAAAAATTTTTTTGGGTCACAAGGGCGAATAAGTTTTGAAATGGCCTTTTTAATTAAACTGTAGGGACGCTAAAATGACACAAAAATCGCCGAAACACGTAAATCCAAATTTTGGGTCGTAGTTTACGGCCCTGTATACCGTTTCTGTAGATCAGGCCATTTTCGCAAGATATTTTCATTTTCATTTTGCATTGTGAATGAAAAAAGTGCAAACTTTAAAAGGCGAAAAATATTAAAATTAAAGATTTTGTGTAAATTCTTTTGATTTGTGTAAAAGCCTGCTGGTTTAGAAAAACATCAAGCTATCAACGAACAAAATTTATTGATAATAAAGGTGTAAACACCTAAGTAAAAATAACTACTTACAAAATGTTTCCATCTAAATTTAGGATTTTATGAATAGCACAGGCCAACAAAAATGGAAAAAAATGTTGTGCGGCAGATTTTCTAAAGCTAAGCCAAAAACAGCTTTAACATTTGCCGCACCAAAATCAGTGTTGCCATGTGTAATTCATACATGGCGAATGAGAGTAATATTCTCTCCTAATTTGACTATTTACAACTTTATTTATCAATAAATTTTCTTCCTTGCAGAGCTTGATGTTAAAAAAAAAAACGGACCATTACACAAATTAAAAGAATTTACAAAAAAAATTTTATTTCTAAATTTGTTTCATTGTTAAAGTTTACCATTTTTTTATTCACAGTGCAAACCTAAAATGACTGAGACTATTCAGGTTTTGGAACTACATTTCTACTGAATATTCAATAAGAAAAATTTGCGCTTTTCTGGCTGAGAAATACTGCTGGGATGTACGGTGTACAGATGCATGTGTGTATGTGCTAAAACAATTGTTACCCCCGTTGCATGCTTAAGCAATTGGTATATTTCCATTACAAATACACTACTTTTGAACAAGATTTCATTTGACTATACCATTTTCCTCCCCAGTGTATACTCAAATACGTGCGTCCCAAATTTTTATATGAAAGTATTATTTTTAAATACGAACAATTTTTTAACGATGGTCAAAAAAAAAGAGAGAGTGCGCCTGGGCCACACTGGAGAAGTGAAACTTACGTTATATATCTAGTTTGCCTCATAGCCAATATCCCAGTGGAAAAATGTAATTTATAGTAATCGAAAAAATAATCAGTAAAACAACCCTTTTCACTTTCGAAAATTAATTTTTTTCCCCAATTTTGCATTACCTAGTATCGAGAAGTGAATGTGTTTTAATATGAATTTGTTGGAACTTTTTGAGTACATTATAATGCTGATTATATAGTTAGCAGTAATATTATCGAGAACTCATAAGAAATATATTATATTATTTATCACGCATGTAACGCATTACTACTTTTCCGACTGGGATACTATGTATGTATGTACATGTGTACATAAATCGATAGTAACATCCATCAAGATATCGATAACATATTCGATAAAAATATCGAAAGCAAAATCGACAACAAAATCGATAAGAAAATTGATAAAAATGTCGATAAGGAAATCGATCAAAATATTGATAACAAAACCCAAAAAAATATCGATAACAAAATCGATAAAAATATCATTAACAAAATCGATAAGAATATAAATTATAAATATGATAAAAATATCGATAACAATACAACAATTTTTCTATCGATAATCAACAAAAATGTCGATAGAAAAATCGATAATATATCGATTATTATAACGATAACAATATCGCTTGAAATATAGGTAACAGAATCGATCAAAAAATCCAAAAAAAAAACCATAAAAGTATCGATAACAAAATCGATAACAATATCAATTATAAAATCGATAAAATCCATAACAAAATTGATAACATATTGATAAAAATATCAATTACCATAAGGATAACAATATCGATCAAAATATCGATAAGAAATTTGATCAAAAAATTCGATAACAAAATCGATAAAAATATCGATGATTGATTCATAAGTTCCGAGAATCCCGAAAATCTATAAAATCCCGACCAGATTGAGTCTGTGTCTCTATCTACATATATCCCTTTTTCTATAATTATGTACCTTTATTTTAATCTTTCTTCGCCTATCTTCATCTTTACTTTTATCGGTATTTATATTTATCTTTGTTTTTACTTTTATGTTTATCATTTTCTTCATCTACATATTCCCCTTATCTCACCTTTGCCCATATCTTAATTTTCGAATTTACCTTTACGCACTTTGTTTTTGTTATTATTTTTACGTTGGCCTTTATACTCTTCTTTATTGATGTATGCACTCACCTTTACTTTTACTCTTGTATTGGTCTTTTTCTAAGTGTGTTATTCTTTAACCATTTATTAGCAAGTTTTTGTTACATTAATACCATATTTATGCTAAAGTAACCAATTTAAAGATCATCGGAAAAATATGAGTCCAATTGTAACGGTTAAATTATACTTTTTAATAAAGTTCGTAACCGTTAAGGGCCCTGCTTATAGCTGAATTAGTCAATCTGCATTCTTGTTCAACTCAAATCTAACCTAGGCACCGTAATGTTTATGGTCTTCGTAATAAAAATCATAAATTACCCGTTGGAATTTATATTTTTCCGATAAAATTTAACCGTTATTTTATGCCTTTTATTTTGTCGATCAAGAATAATTGGCATCATTGGATTTTGACTTTTTCGAACAACT